TACTCGCCATGTGGAATACGATTACTGAAGAAAACAAAGAAGACAGGACCGACTATTTTTGGTTCACTGACCGTCATCGCCTATTCATACTTAAACTCGAGTGTGTGGCAGCTGAGGTCTGATCCCACGCTCTTTTATTCCTAAGTCCAACGCTCTAACCGTTTAGCCACGCCAACGCTTTTCGTTCTTCCAACTGTGCCTGTTCCCACTGGATCTGAAGCTGTAGATGATGATTAGTTTTGTTTTGAAATTGTTTTTCGCATGTACTGGTGTGAAATCTTTAAGTGACTGTTTTGATATCTGCTTAAACGAGTTCTTGGTTTAGAAAAAAATTGTATTCTCTATGTTACATCTACCCAATTAAACAGACACACTAAGCAAACCTGAGCACATTGTGCTATTTTTGTAGTCATTACGGTCCTCACTTCAGGCAGTGACCTCGATTGGGATGACGTGCGCAGCAAGTTCGTCCTTATTAATGGTGAACTTTCACCTCCTGTTCTATTATCTTTCTTTAGGACATAAGGCCTGCTACTTCAGTTAGGCCTTTCAAGATTCCTCGTTCACGAAATGGTAACGCAACTGTCAGTGAAAGCTCTGATCAAGCTACACGGTCCCCACCTATTGTGGTACGAAATCCCAGGGGTTCGCCTTATCCGGATAGGACCAACGGTGTATATGACGCCGGCGACAACTGTGTAACCACCGGGCGAGGAGATAATTTTTCAAGGCAGAATAAAACTTCCGCCCCAGTCCACAATATGGGCTACAGGCCGACAAGTCAAGTATCCACAGACCAAAGTCTGGACCAGTCGATGTCTGATTGGTCAAACCATACGTCAAGAAATTCAGTACAAGCTCAGAAAGGTCTACCATCGCAGCCGCCGGCACAACAAATTCCCAATTTGAAGCCGAGAACGCCAGGAGACGGTGCTGCTAATCTGGCCTACTGGAAACAGGAACAAAACTCCAGTGAAGACGCGAAAATAGAGTCTGTTGGCAGACGCAATCTCGAAAACGGCGAAAACAAGGTGAGCCTTACCCTCTAAA